ACAGACACACACACAGACACACACACAGACAGACATAATTCCAAAATTGTGTTTTTCGGACTCAGGGAGGTCTAAAACGTGGAGATTCGTCAAAATCTCGAGTTCGAATTTTTTGACGATTACAATACTTTCTCTTTGTATACTTCGTATACGAGAAAGTAAAAAAGAGGGGAGAAGTTGGCGAAGTATTCGTTGACATTGACGAAGGCAAAATTCACGCGCGACTCGACCTCGAGGTGAAATGATGCGAGAAAGATACGTTACCGCGTCAGTGCGAGAGAACGTTTGAAGCAGTTGTAATGGAGTATAGACAAAAAAAAAATCCGGGGGCGGAGCAAAGGATGCTGAAAAGAGAGAAATTATTTATATAAAATTTATCTGGAGCGCTTACAATTTACATGAAGTGATTTTTAATATTAGGGAGATTTTCAAAGAATTTTTTTGGCTAATTTAAATTTAGAATAAACTCTTTAATGCTGTTAGCTTAAGCGCATTTCTCGGATCAGTGTTAAAAATGTGGAACGCTTCACCATTCTGCGTGCCATCCTTGCAAAGGGGCCGTGCTAATCTTCTTTGTATCGTTCTAATTTTAGTATATGCACTGTCGAAGCGATTACAACAATAATAATTTTGTTTTGAAGATACTCGCAGCCATTACAGCTTCTACGTCAATTTCTACTCTCGCAACCAGCGACCTTAAAATTCCGATGACTTTAAAAATTTAAAAAAAAATAGATAAAATTTCCTACAATAATAAAATTGGTATTATTGGAAAGATAATGTTTTTCTCTTTAAAATGACATGAAAAATTTCTTTGTCAATCAATTCATTCAGAAGTTATTGGCAAAAAACGATGAAATTTTATTTAATTTTTAAAAAAATCGTCTCCGAGATGCACATCTTCAGCATCCAAAGTATATCTGTGCCAAATTTGGTAGCTCTATGTTCTACGGTCGGTTCTATACACCGCCAACTCACACACATTCATCTTTATTAGGATTAGAGATTATTGCGAAAAGACATCTCGAAACTGATGTTGCAATAAAGCTTTGACGCGGACGTGTTTTGAACACGCAATCGTCTGATCCGGAGTCAAACGCGCTACCGTTGCGCCACCGACTCCACATTTGCGTTTTCTATGCTCGTATCATTGTGGAAAACGGAATGAAAGTGCTTTTAAAGATTCACTTAAGGGATGTACTATCGCATTAAAAAAAATTCGCAACTTAGGTAAAATATGGATCACGAGAAGAAGTCTAACAAGGGGAACACTAATTATATGGGCTACCGATTTTTTGGAATTTTTTTATATTTGTAGTAGTGCCTTAGGACAATACAACATACAAGCCACCAGTTCTACAACTCAGTAATTTTCGAGAAAATAGATAGAAAACTATAACGGATACAATTTCGACCAGTTCGCTGCACGCCTAGCCCTAGCTGACGGCGATAGAGTGTTTAGTGTCATAGTTTCATAATTGCTGCATCGCCGGATCGAGTCCCAAGCTTAACTTTTATTTTCTATCATTTACATATTTTATAAGGAATAATTTGTTTATATGCATGGATAATTTATTGAACTTTCAACAGCGCTTAGTAATTCTGCTAATTTTTTGTAACATAAAATTTATATTTTATTATAATTTTATTCATGACATTATATGTATCGTAATTAATACATTTAGTAATAAAATGCATGACAATAAGAGATTGCATACTGGTATAAATAATGTTCATGACATACTGTTTTCAAAGCCTCATCAAACATCACAAGTTGCCGGACGATATTTGTCATAGACACAAAAAACATAAATTCAAACTGCATCTACTGCACCGAATAAACCCAACTTGCCCTCGAACGCAAGGTAATTGTAGGTCTGCAGCTGAAAAGCAAACATTGTGAACAATTTCATTTTTGTCACTCAATTTGCATGCGAATCACGCGTAACGCAAAATTTTTGCAAATATCGGTGCCGATAATTGGTGATGCAAGATGGATTGTATTTTGATTGCATCTTCACGGGATGCAATTTCTCGTTCGTTTTCAATCAAGTATGAACAATTCCGGAGGCGCTTTATAAAATTTTCAACCTATCTATAAAAATAAAAGTTGCACGGCTGGCAAATTGGAGTACATTTGGGGGG